ATGACTCAATAGTTTCTTTGGGGCCTAGAGTGTCTAGGGAGCAGGGAGAAGGGTGCTGTCAGCCCAAGGTCTGCCCCACCAGCAAGTGGAACCCCCAGGCAGGGCAGAGAGAACCGGCCAGGTGGAGCACCCAGACCACAGGTGTGGGCTGGGAAACACTCAGACCGGGGACCATCTCTGCCCTCACTGGCTCATTTGCTCCATCCTGCCTGTGCCAGGTGGCTGGCTGTGCAATGGGGCAGTCAGCCCAGAGCAGCACTGGCCCAGGCTCTACCTTCACAGAGCTTACGGTCTAGTAGAAGGTTTTTTGTTTTTTTTTAATAAATTTATTTATTTAGTTTTTGGCTGCATTGGGTCTTCACTGCTGCGCGCAGGCTTTCGCTAGTCGCGGCGAGCCAGGGCTACTCTTCGTTGCGGTGCACGGGCTTCTCGTCGCGGTGACTTCTCTTGTTGCGGAGCACGGGCTCTAGGCACGCGGGCTTCAGTAATTGTGGCATGCGGGATCAGTAGTTGTAGCTCGCGGGCTCTAGGCGCACAGGCTTCAGTAGTTGTGGCTCTCGGGCTCTAGAGCGCAGGCTCAGTAGCTATGGCGCACGGGCTTAGTTGCTCCGCGGCAAGTGGGATCCTCCCGGACCATGGATCGAACCCGTGTCCCCTGCATTGGCAGGCAGATTCTTAACCACTGAGCCACCAGGGAAGTCCCTAGTAGACGTTTTTGAAATGATTGAAACCCTGCTTCTATTTCTTTCCTAGCTGGGAAAGGTGGGGCAGATCAGTTTAACCTCTCTGAACCTCAGTTTCCCCATTCTAATGCCCACGCACAGAGCTGCAGTGAGGATTAAATAAATGAGCTCATATACATGAAGTCCCTCCCATGGTGCCTGGCCCATCTGACTTGCTCAATAGACATCTGCCATGTCTCTAGAAAGAAGGGAGTGACGCGTGACATCCTGTGAAAACCAGGCGGCCCTCTACCAGTCCCTACCGACCTTCCTGGTTGTACACCAGGCTCGGTCCCCTGGGGGCAGTGTGCTCGCACCCCCCGCAGCTCTGGCTGCAGAGGGCAGCTCCATCCTGGGTCTCCCGCCCGGGACTCCTGCCCCCTGGAGCCTCAGCACTTGTTTCAGGTCACCCTTCCTGGCAATCTATAGCAGTATTTCTTTCTCTGCAGCCTTTCTCATCTGGTCTTTTGGCCAGTAGGTCCTGACCACACTCTCGGCCTCCGGCCCTCACCTCTCTCCAAAGAAACCAAGATGGCAATGAGCAGCTTCCCCCCCATGGCCCGGGTCAGCCCACCACCCTTGCCCACTCTCCCCCAGAACAAGGTCCAAAGACTCAAGTCTCCCCCTTTACTGCCCATGCTGGGCTCTCCTCCTTCCCCTGCAAACTTCTCTTCTGGACTCTCAGTTTTCAGTCCCAGGCCCCGAAACATCACCTTCAGGGTGGCCACCTCCAGAGCGAGGCTGTGCACTGCCCAGTCCGGGCAGGGAAGGGAGATATTTGCGAGCATGACAGCGTCTGGGCCCCTCCTGGGCCTGAGCCACAACACAGCCCTGTGCCCGCTGCAGGCGGATCTGCACAGCTGGTCAGCACTGCTGAAGCCCTCTGGATGCCAGACCATCTCCTTTCATCCTCACACAACCCCACCCGGCAGGGACCAGCACCCCGCTTCAGGGCCGCACTGAGGCCGGGACGGGCAACGCAAGTGGCCCAAGGTCAACATGCGGGGAGTGATGCCACTGAGGGACGGACCTACCTAGGCTGGAAGGAGACAACAGGGTAGGACCATCAGTGGAGGCTGTGGTGCACACAGAAGAGCCAAGGAGGCCCTGGGGGCTACGCTCAGGGAAGCACAGCCCCGAGGAGGCCTCAGCTCCTTCCAGCCCTCCTGGGGGCCCATCTCCAAGGGGGGGCTCTGCCTTTGGGAAGCAAACCCTCCTCACATCCCGCTGGGAGGAGTGAATCCACCTGACCCCACCCCGAGACAAAAAGCTCCGTACAAGCCCAGTACGTCCTCAGGGGGGCGGCAGAGCTGCCCTGACTGAGGGAAGGTGTCTCTCGCGGGGCCACCGAAGGCCGGTCTGGAGGAAACACAGCAAAACCATCACCGCGACTGCGTTTAGGCAGCAAATACGCTACAGAGAACTCCCTTTTTCTACATCTAGTTCTTAAACGGTATTTCATTTTGAAATGGGATTTTGAAAAAGCAAATATCAGTGGTGGGAAAAGTAGAGGCAGAGGTAGAGGAGGAGGAGGAAGAAGGTGAAGGGCGTGAGAAGCACCCCAGAGCTGAGCAGGAGGGTGTTTGCACCCTGTGGACCACTCCCAGGCCCTCCTTCCCCAGACGGGACAGAGACATCGCTAAGCAGCAGACTGTCTAACGGAGCGGCCGTCACAATCACCCGGGGCAGAGGTCAGAGACAGAGCCAGGTCTCTCCACAGAAGCCACTACTCAGGACAAGAAGACAGAGCTGGTCAAAACTGGGGACTCCAAGCCATGCACTTGCACTCTGGGGTCCCAGACCACAGCTGGCACTTGGGGCTGCAGCTCTGGGGTCTCCCTGGCAACTCCTGCTGCTATGAAAGCATCTGCTGATCACAGGTGCCCACCACCAACTGACCCGCCCCCAAAAAGGAAAGTGGGACCCAGACAGCCTAAGGCTCGTTCCAATTCTGTCCTCCACTTTCTCCCTGAGCAACCACCTTCACAACAGAGACCCCTGATCTGTGGGTGGAGCAATGCTCTTGCACCCCTTCCCAGGAGGCTGTAAGGCGCTCCGACCAGCTGTCTGTCTGCCGTTGACTTCCCAAACAGCCCTGACTCGGCCCCGAGCAGAGACGTGCTGCCAGGGAGAGGGAGGGACAGGCAACAACTTTCCATCACTGCGGTCTGAGCGAGGCCTGTCATCCTGCCCTTTCGTGCCAGGATCGAGAGGGGCCCGGGAAGTGACAAATGTGTCATGGTCGGGGACCAATTACCCATGCTCATAACAAGTCCGTGCCAGGACCCTGGGCCACCTAGATGGTCGAGGGGATTTATGGCCCAAACCTGATTTCCCAGAATCCAGCGAAGGCAGGAACAGAGACAGAACCTGGACAGGACCCTCATCCAGGTCTCACTGGGAGCCAGTGTATTTTTGGAGGGCTCTGGTCTCGCCTGCTTGCTGTACTTTATTGCTGGCAGAGGGACGGGAAATTTATTACTTTACAAATCATACCATTCGCAGCATAAATGAACTGTCTGGCTGCGGCACGCTAGAGCCCAGATGATTTGCGAAACGTCTAATGGTAAGCGGAGTTATGCTATCTGCTTACTTACGGCCTCCGAGACAAAAGCCAACCGTAACGCAGAGCATCTGCACAGTGTAACTCGAGGCCGGCAAATTGGCTGCGACTCAGAAATGTTGGCTCAGCAGCATTACATAACTCTGTGCGCTCGGCCAGGGACTCAGAGGAACACAGGGCAGCCCCTGGGCCCGGAGAGCTGGCCCTGACGGGGCTGCGGATGACAGGCAGGGCAGCACGGGGGCTCGGGGCCTGAGGTCAGGGCCAGGCTGAGCTCCACAGCCTGGCCAGTTCTGAGGCCTGCTAGCAATCAAGAAGTGGAGTGGGCTCGGGGGCCTGCCTGGGAAAGGGGGTACTTGCTAAGGCCCTTCTGCTCCAAATCCCCCAAACCCAGACTGGGAGGACGGTCGTGAAATCACCGCGGCCCCTACGTGTAGACGGGAGCCCGGCAGTACCCACAGCCCATGGGGTGGTCCCCCCACTGCTGAGTGACCTGACCAGTGAGCAGAGAGGGCCAACTGCACGGTCATCAGCACCGACAGGCTCAGCCCGGTACCAGAGGCGTGGGTCCTCACGGGGAGGGAGGAGACGGCACACCATTTACGGAGGAAACCAGCAAGTCACTTGGTCTCCCCGAGCTTCAGGTTCATGGAAGTAGCAGTGCCAGGATTCAGCTCCGGGCTGTTGTGACGTTGCTCTCATGTGCAGTATCTATGCTGAGTGTGACACTCAACGGTCATCATATTCCCAAAGCTCTCTAAACAACCTGTGAGATACGGATATCATCACCCCCATGTGACAGGTAAGCAAAGTGAGGCTCAGAGGAGTCATGTCACTTTTCCAAACTCATACAGTTAGTGAGCGGAGAGCCGGGATCCAAGCTCAGGATGCTCTGGTTCTGAAGTTTCTATCTTTCCCACGGCGCGTGCCTCCCAGGACCCAGAGTGTCATGTTATGGCTTCCCACCACCTCACACTGTTCTGTTTGGAACAGTGGCATCAGACACTCAATGGGTAAGAAAAGTCCAGCAATGGGTTAGAAAAGGGCTTCAGAAACAGGGGTCCACGCTTGTCCCTGGGAGCTCTCAGTTTGACTGTTCTCAGGTGTGAGCCCCAAGAGGCGTGGGGTGGCCACTCTCTAGGAGGTCCAGGGGAGGGGGTGACTGGAGAAAGCTTCCAGACCAGGGGTGTATGAGTCACTCAAACTCTGCCGTGGCCCAGGAAGAGCAGCAGAGACCTTGCTTTAAACAAATCTACCGCCCGCCTGTGGCTCCGGGACCTGGGTGACTCTCCAAGGGCAGGAGAGGGACCCAGCAGATCTGTCCCCTTTGCAGATGGGCCAAAGGGCCCTGCCTGAACGCACATACGATCCTCAGCTCAGGCTTGAAATGTAGCACTGGGGCAAGATAAACGCCTGTGGGCTCTCAACCTGTGAAGTCTTTAGCTTAAAAACAAAAACAGAAATGCTTTCTGGACAGTTGATTTCAAAACAGAGGACAGTATTTTCAAACACTTTGATCTTCAAAAATAAAAAAGCTGTCTTGTTACCATAGAGAATTTTGACCGTGCCACTTGGCATTCAAAATCAAAGGCTGTTTGCTGAATACTCATCTAAAAATAGCTTCATTTTTTTCACGAGCCTTACAAGACAAACGCTTGGCCCCAGAGATACCATCCTCTCGCTGTCTCACACAGCCCACACACTCATTCACTTACCTACTCACTCAGCAAAGCTCACTGTCTCCAGTCCCGGTAAAGGCCCAGCAGAAGGGGTCCTTGGATTTCCAATTCCCTCCACGTCACATGCTAAAGACAGACTAGGCCCCACGACCTCTTGGAGAAGCTTAAATTCAGTTAATGGACTTTTTAGAGTGTGTGAACGTCACCCTCAGTCAAGAAGCCTATTAGCCACGTAAATAGTACACACACGTCCATGTGAAGCACGGGCAGCGGGAGGGTGGCAGCACCCACCGTCAGCACCTACATGCCACCGGGATGAACGTTTTCAGGCATTCCGGCCGGGCACTGACATGTCTCTGTCGGAACCTCCGGGCACATAACTAATACCTTGTGTGACAGCTGCTTTCGGAAAGGTGCAGTGGCATTCGTCGCTGGGTCTGATCTTTTCAGAGAATCCCTTAAAGCCTGGGAAACTTGGCCCTGACCCGGACAGGAAGCCACAAGGGGAACACTCTGGTCATGGGCTAAACCACCTTGAGCTGTGCTATGACCCCTGAAGAGGCACAAAAGGAAGGAGGTCCTTTCTCCCTGGGGGCACACATTCCAAGAAGCTCACGTGGCTCCCCAGCCCCAGGGGAGGCTCTTTTGGAAGAACAGGGGGAGGTAGGGGAAAAAACGCTCCTGGACCCAAGTCCAAGTGCTCTCCAGAGCCAGGTGCCAACCCAGCAGCGGGGAGCACGTGAACACAACACAGCCCCTGTGCACCCTCTCCTGGGTGACAACCTCCCCGGCCTGCAGCAAAGACTCTGAAGGCACCTCCTCATGTCTTTGATGACAAAGAGCCAGGCCACGTGTCCATAGTTGCGGACACAAGAAATTGTTTTAACTAACAAGTTCCAAGAAGCAGCGGGTCTACACATGACTGAGTCCAGGGCCCCTGGGAGAATCTCATAGAGGTACGGACCCTCTGCCCAGAAAAGCTCACACAACACTTTTCATCCAGTGTCATGGGGAGGTCAGATGAAGACAGTCTGTGATAAAAGCTCCCCATCACAAGGAGACCAAGGCAGAGAAGCGACCCCCATGCAGCTATGACTCCCCCAGCCCCCTAGGCTCTAGAATGCACAAGGTAGGAGCCACGCCTGTGGCCAGAAGATGGCCCAGGACCCGCCTCCGGGGTCGCTGACCTCTTCTCAGACTAAATGACAATGAAGACTCCAGCGTGTCAATGTTCTAGTGGGGTGCCCTCTCTAACCCTCAGTTCTCCTGCCCGCACATGGAGGCCAAGGCTATCCACCCAGCTCTCCTGGTGGAGATGCCTCTACCAGGCTTCAGTTTCCCAGAAGATTCTGCCTCAGAACCAAGAGACTGTACTGGACATGGCCATGACCTGCCTGCCCCACCCCTGATGCACTGGCGACTGTGTTTTGTATTATCTGTCCTCCCCTCTGCCCCTGAGGCAGTAATCGATGGGCTACCCTTGACCTCGGAGTTGGGCCAAACTGATTCCCTGCCCTGGAACTTGGAATGACAAAATCCCAAGAGAACTGCAGTGCAGCAGCAGTTGTAGCTGAAAACTCATGACATTTCCCAAAGCCGGCTCTCCCTAAGCTGCGAGACAGAGGCCAGGGGGCAGAGGAGAGGGTGAGAGCCCTCCACCATCAGGTGGAGAGAGGCCAGCACAGGGGAGTAGCTGAGCCATCCTCTCCTACCCCTGGGGCCCGCAAGTCCTACCCTCCGTGATCCAGAAGTTGCCCTCCTACAGCCTGAGCTGAGTTGGGCCACAGGGACACTGAAATCCACGGCGATTCCATCAAATGTGTCCCCATGGCTTAATGTCCTTGAGCCCCAGATAGCCACCAGCCAGGAAAGAAGAGGGCTGAGCACAAGCAACCCATGCAGGGGGAAGGGTCTCTGGACCCTGGCCCAGCACCGTAACACTCTGGGGAGCTTCAGAACTGCAGATGTCCAGACCCCATCAAAGGGCAATTGACTGGATAGGTCTGGGGTGGGGCTGTACGTCTATAGTGTTACAAAGTTCCCCAGGTGATCAGGCGGCTGAGCCTGGTTTAAGAACCACCAGTTTGGGCCATATACACCTTGCCTCACAAAAAACAGAATCCCCAGCATCTGGATGGCAAAGGACAGGGTCTGGGGAGCAATGTTGTTTTCTGGGAAGTTCCTCATCTGTTCTCTTCTTTCTTGGGGCTCCACAAGCCACCCAGCCTCCTCTAGGAAGCCTACCCTCCTTACGTGAACTCCTCCCTGAGCCCCACCTTCCCCATCCTCTGCCATCCACGTCCCCTGTGGTTCCAGTCCTATACCGCACACAGAAACTTCGTCCCTGGGGAGTTCCTGGCCTACTGGGACTGGCCTCTGTCCTGTAGGCTGTAGAGCCATCTCCAGGCCTCCCCTGAGCTTCCGCTCTTGGATGTGGCCTGGCCATGGGCTGTGTGGGTGGGGATGGCCGTGGGAGAGGGACTGATTCCTGCTTGACCCTGCAGATCTATAGTGGCCCCTGTGCCGGGCGCCCTGCTGAAGGGGAAGCAGGCCCAGCAGGTCTTCACAGGCAGAGACAAGACACACCGGAGAGCTGAGCTGGGGCCCCGTGACTCAGCCCAGAACCCAGGACCGTTCCAGCAAAACCTTCATGCCTCCTCTTAAGTAATGGCACTCAGAAGGGCAGGCGTGGGGGTGGCAGGAGTTGGGAGGAGAAGAGGGAGAGAGGAAGAGAGGAACCTTTCTGAAGCGCCTTCCAACCCAGGCAGGAGGCCAGCTCCCCCAAGGCCCAACCCCAGTGCCAGCTACTGCCCCGGTCTGCCACGGTCCTGAGCTATCGGTGCAGCTGGAAGTGTGCAGGCGTGGAGAAGGCCCCACCGTGCAAAATGTGCATTTGATCAAGGTTGAAAACATGGTGTAACATGAGTTCTCCTGATCTATTGGATTTCTGCGAAAGAGCCCTGAACTCCTCACTCAAGTTCAACCTCAGGTCTCGGGAAAAATGAGTTTGTTAATTCAAGCAATTCCCCAGTGGTTAGTCGTTTATACCACATGCTTTGAAACAATGTGGCCTGAGTCAGGGGAGAAACTGAATGACTTCCTAGGGGAGAGCCAAGGCCTATCTGTTAACCTTGACAGGCTCTGCAGCCTCCTGCACTGGCCCGCCCAGCCCTCTGAGCCCCTCCCACGAGGCTCGGGCAGGGACTCCAGCTCCGCAGCTCACACACTCACACGGAGCAGCCCCCACTATTCAGAGAACAGCCGGCTTCCCACACGCCCCACCCTGCAGGCTGGAGAGCTGGCATCTGCCATCAATTGCCTCTCCAAGAAGCCTGTGTCTCCAGCCATCCCCGGGGTCCACTAGGACCCTCCCCCCAGGCAGACCCAGCGAGCTCGTGCTGGCCAGCATGGGTGAGAGGCAGGGTCAGCCCTGCTTATGGGTCCGTCTCAGGCAGGAAACCGTGGGGAAGATCCTTGGAAGAGAAGACTGATGACTAGAGGAGCCCTGCCGACCACCTAGTAAACTCCATTCCCTCATGCAGAGAATGTTTATTGGGCACCTGTTTCATGCCAGTCTCCATCCTGACCCAGAGACACCCCCCAAGCGTGGACCCGGGACCATGCACAGGGACAGTGACAGAACAATGATGAACGCATATTAACAGCCCCCTTCTAGGCCCTTCGCCGGTGTTAATCCTCACAACTCTTGAGGGAGGCACAGATGAGTAAACCGAGGAGCAGATCAGTCATTCGCCCAAGGCCACCCAGCTGGTAAGCAGTCGTATGGGCATGTGGAGTCAGGCAGTCCAGCTCCACAACCTTCGCCCTTGACCGCCATTGGACCACTGTCCTCCTCATTAGTATAATGAAAGCACTGCCCTGCCTGCCGAGCGGTCACGCCCAGGCACAGCCTAGCACCCAGGAAGTGGTATCCTTAGGGGAAACCCAGGGTCTGAGGCGGGGGCTCGAGCTGCTGGCTCCCCCGCCCTGCCTCAGCGCACCTCGGACAAGATGTTCAACCTCTCAGCTTCCGTTTCCCTCGCTCTAAAATGGGGATGATAATTACCCATAAGGTTCTTGAGATAATTTCATGAAATAATGCATATTACAGGGCTTAGCACTTTGCAGTATCTGCAAATAAAATTCTGGTAAAAGTTAGCTACTCTTTAGTAATTAAGATTATTAATAACACTTGATATTAATATGTGATTATATATATATAAAATCCCAGTGCATGTAAGCCCTGATCAGGCCAAAGCTGGGGGAAAATAACGATATTCATAACACTATATCCATACCATTATTATTATTTCCAACTGGGCTCCCATTTCATGCTTTACCTAACGAAAGTATCTTTTCTTACTAGCCTGATAAGCTGTCCAATGCTCCCCTTTTCTTCCCTCCTCCTCCCCTACCCCCATGTCCCCACCACATCCCTAAGCTCAAACACCAGGGCCACCAGGCATGGGCAACAGACGCTGCCACTACAAACAAGACAAGGAACAAGAAACGTCTGCCACTTTTCAGGGGCTTTGGCATGAAACCCCCTGATGAACTTGACATTTTGGGGCAGAGTGTTTCACTTATAGCTCCTTCCGATAAGTCCAGCAAGACGGAAACATCCAAGCGATGCAAGGCCACGCTGCTCACAGGGGGAGGCCCTGACAGTCCACATCAGTGAGGACCACCGGCAAAGACGATCCATTTCCAGATTCCAAACCTCAACAAAAGGGACCACAAAAGCTCAGACTCCTTCCATGTCTGATTCTCCACCTCTGCACGTGGGCAGAGGTGGGGTACTTTAGGTCCAGTCTCACTGGGTTTTCACTGCAGCCAGGCAAGGGGGGGACTAGTCTCTCCTGACAGCCAGGGAACAGGCTAAGAGAGATGCAGAGACGTCCGCAGGGCCGAGCTGGGACAGAGCCAGGTCCTCTGCTCCCTGGACTCTTGGCCAGGGGAGGGTGTGGCAACCCACACTGCACTTCTCTGGAAGGCTAAGCCACTCCTTCTGCTGGCTGCTGGGCCGAGAGGTCATAGCTCTGCCTCGCAGCGCTCTGGCCAACTGTTCCCTGAAATCACCCAAAGCAAACAGAAGCTCCGGGAACCGTCAGTCTGTAGCTGCAGCTTCCTCCCTGGCTGTGGGAACCTTCAGCTCCCTAGGGCTCGGGCTAAGTCCACTCTCCACACACACAGGGGAAACGTGCTGAAGGCGGGCCCTTGTTCCCAGACAAGGCCCACCGCTGGCAAGGCCACCCAGTGCCAGGGGCCCAGCTACACCAGACCCCATCTAGCTGGCTGCTGTCTCCCCAGAGCCCTCAGCAGCGCTCTCTGAAGGACCGAACAGACATGGAAAGGCTGAGTTCCCCAAGGCGCCCATAGCAGCCCTGTCCCGCCGCGCTCCAGACAGGAAAGGGCCACGGCTACATCCCTGGACACACGCCCCAATCCCAGCTCAGCTGCACACGCACACGCACCTTTCACATCCGTGGCAGCAGGCCCAAAAGGCAAGCAACAGACAAGCAGCAGCTGGCCACGGAGGGCAGCCGAGGAAGAAGGGCCCTACATCCCTTCCCGGTGCACAGGGTGGTGGGAGGGGCAACAAGGGGCGACGGGGGCCAACCCAGGCCTCTCTGCCTCAGGGACAAGCCTGTGCAACCCCTGACCCAGCAGCACGGGGTGCACAGAGATGAGAAAATGGGCCCGGTTTCAGTCCCGCCAAATCCTTCAGGATGACCATTGAAGCTGCGAATAATCATTTTTCTGCAGCTTCTTCAGAAGCCAGGATTTATTCTCTGAGTGCACAGAGCCATTGGCTCCACTGTTTCCCATCAGCTCCTGCCACGCTTCCAGGCTGCTGAGCACAGCCCGCAGCCTCCGTTCTCCCTCGACGCTCAAACCCACGCCCATGGCTGTACCAGAGAGGAGAATAGAGCCAGGGGCGGGGGACCCTCAGTAACACCACCTCCCATTTCCAAAGCACCAAACCTTTGGGAGAGGACCCTCACACACAGCTGCGCTGGGAGACGAGACTAAACTCAGGGAGGGGAGAAGAGGGCAGACGAGCTGCCGGACCCTGGAACCACGGGGCAGAGACGAGAATCTCTAGGCGGTGACATCAGTGCCGGCACTACTCAGCATCCGCTGGCATTTTCTGAGCGCTGGCTGCCCAGGGCCCTGGGCCAGGGCTGTGCCCCCGCCGCCCGCCGCTCAGCTGCAGGACCTGACCCGGGAAGCTCCTGACTGTCATGGCCACAGCAGCCGGTGTGGATGTGCTGGTGCACGGGCAATGTCCGTCCCACACGTGCACCAGCGTTCAGCAAGGGACACATCTGACCTGGTCATGTCCCTGGGGGCCCCAGAATCACAGTTGTAACTCTGCAGCAGGGCCCACTGAGCCAGGGGACCATCTGTGTGCAGCCCAGGCAGGTCAGTTCCTGAAGGCTCAGTCCTCGTTCCCTCTCTAGTCACTCTGGACAGATCCCAGCGCGGTTTTCGGTTTGCTCTCAGTGGTTCTCAAGGTGTGGTCCCTGGACCGGCAGAAGCAGCAGCATCACCTGGGAACTTGGATGAAATGCATTCTCAGGCCCCACCCCAGGCCTCCTCAATCAGAAATCCGGGGGTGGAGCTCAGCAGTGTGTGTTTTAACAAGCCCCCTAGGTGACTGTGACGCAGCTCTGGATCACCGAGTCGTCGGGTTGGGGGCAGGGAGGGGTGGACAGGACACGGGGCCGGGGTGCCAGCAGCTCCTCTGCTCTCCTTCAGCTCAAGGGGGTGTACCCACTTCCCAAGCTAGCAAGCCTGAGGGAGCCCTTTTGCTCCCAAGGGCTGCTCCTCTGTGAGTCAGGGGTCCTTGTGAGTCTGTGGGTCCTTGTGGGTCTCCTCACCCCCAGGAGGCTGAGAGGCTGCCCAACTTCTCACTGCAGACCCCCAAACCCCAGGACCCAGTCTCATCATGTGTTGAGGAATGTCAAAGTTTTATTCATATCACGATTAAAATAATATTATACAACACACACTGGCCATGTCCCCATTTCAGGGGTCTTTGCTGCTCCCTAAGTTAGAGCTCTCTTCTCCCGACCAGCACGCTTCGCTCAGGGCTCTGAGTAATGTCACCGCTTCAGAGACGCCTGTCCCGACCGTCCTATCTAAGGTCACTCTTCATCAGCTCTGTCCCCTCACCCAAATTTTTCTGTATCTCCACCTAATAATGTTATTTACTCATCTTACATATTTACTCATTTGTTTGTGGGGTTTTGGTTTTGTTTTGTTTTTGGTCTCTTTCCCTCTCTAGGTTGTAAACTCTGTGAGGACCGGGATCTCATGTGTTCACTGCTGCATCCTCAGTGCCTAGGACATGCGTCTTGCACAGCAGGAGCTCAATCGATGTACTAGTAAATGAACGCACGCACACAGAGAAGCAAAACTGTAGCTAGCCACTCCTCACACTTAGCAATCTTGAACGCGTAAAAAGCCAAGGCGAACTTGGAAATTAAATCCAAACAAAACCGACAAAATTAGATGATATGTTCTGCTCGAGTTCAATTGCCAAGAATGGGTTTTAATAGTAGAAAGATAGGGCCTCGAGCCAGTTCTGTTTCTGTATTTTGATGTAATTAATACCAACACAGAGAGTAAATGCTTGCAAACAGATGCGTGCAAACAAAGTGGCATTAATAACCTTAAGGCTTTGTTTACAAGGATAAGCAGCTTTCAAACAAAACCAAAGCCCTACACACAGGCCTGCAGCACCAACTTAACGAGGGATCACGCGATGACTCTGTAGCGGTATCCTGTTCACTTGACACCACATCAGCCTTATGGTCGTACTAAAGTCTGCCTTAAATAAACTCTTAATCTTCTCATCCTAATTCGAGCTATCTCTTCCTCACGTATTTTTTCCCAGCACAGCTGCTGCCAACACACTCTAACTGGTTGCCGCACGTCAATCTGGGATCTGTTTGTCCTATGAAAGTGACCCTGGCCACCAGCAAACAGGTATCTTGGCCACTGGCGTGGCCTACTGGCACGTGCCTTGTTCTGCCCTCACTTTTCTCTAACGCAACCGAACTAAGCTTCCTCTAGACAGTGGACTGAGGCTATATTTCACTTTCTCTTGGAGCAAACGTGAGCAATCAAATACACCAACCCCATCAGGAAGACATGCGAATGTTTCTTAAATCATCCAGCAATACCAGGTTACAAGGTGGGTACCAAGATAAAATAGATAAGAGCATATGAATTCCAAGGATTGTCATCAAAATGGAAATGCAGACCTTTGAGAATTACAAAGCAGAGCCCTGAGCCACTGATCTCTTTACCTATTCAAGGACCTTGGCACTTGTCACCGAGGCCCCCCAGGAGACACAGCGGAGCACTGATGCACTGAATTCCAGCCCAGGGATTAAGCACAATCTTACCAGTCGGAAATGCAACCATCGGGCCACCAGAAAACTATTAAAGTTCCCGTCCTGGCAGGGCCCGTGTGGAACTGCAAATCAGCTCACTGGATCCACACATGTTTTGAAATGGTTCTGTAATACTGGCATCTGCAAGGGCTTTCCAGGGATGAAGACATAATGGGTGCCAAAGGTTTAATTAAAATTTTATGGCGGAAAAACTTATACTTGAGAACATAAGTTCTCTCCAGTCTGGGTTTTGTTTCCCCTGTCAGTATGGACAAGAGCACCATGATTCTCTTTGATGCGGGACCTCTAAGCCCTGGGCTGCACGGTGGGGGGCTGCCTGCAGGGGGAGCCCTTCTGCAATGGGACTGGGCCCTGGCACCCTGCCCAAATGCTCACTGTGGCCTGGCACCTGTCCTCAGGGTGGGTGCTAGCCAAGACCAGCTACCCCCGAGGTCAGAGAGCAGGTGCAGCTGAGCAGGAGGTCACCTTATCCAGTCTCCTGCCAGCACGCAAGCCCCCGGCACAACCGTGGGACTCAGCAGCTTCTCTTAAGACTCAGCTCCCCGGGGCATCAGCCTAGAGCAAAAACAACTCTCCTTATTCATGCCTTACACGGCCCCTCAGTCTCTTCAGACGCTGAGGATGGGCTTCCGCGCAGCAAACATCCAGGGAGGAAAACCTCTCCTCAGCCTGTTCCTTCCCGTGCTGGAGGAAGCAGTTCTTGCAGATGCTCTCCAAGGCCTCAGGCTTCTTGTCCCAGTGACCTGAGGACCAGGCCCTCACCCTCCTGATGGTGTCTCTCTCTCTCTCACACACACAGCCTCGACCCAGGCAAATGCAGCCTCCTACCCAGTCTCCAACAGGAGGGAGTGCCCTGTTTGCCAAGAAAGCACTGCTCTGTGTCAGTCATCTCTGCTCACCGCCCAGGCGTGAGGATGAAGCCAGGAACCTACAGAGACAAAGGCCCGGCAGCCCCACCAAGCCGGGAACAGGTCAGCCCAGGGCGTGGCATCCACGGGGAGGAAGAGGCCTGGGACCAGTTCCTTAGCCGGCGGCAGCACTGCCCACCTCCCAGGGAGGGAGCGCCCCTTCCAGCGGCCCCCAAGCCTTGCCTCCGAGCCCACCTTCCCCTCACCTGACTGCAGGGAGGCTTCTGTGCTCTTCCATGTTCTAGTGGCCCCCAGCGTGCCCACACTTTCGGCTCAAGGACCCGAGAAAGGAGACTGGGGTCCCAAGAGGAAGAGGGGCTTGTCCAGGCCCCCCACCAACCTAGGCCCACGCTTGATGGGAGAGAAACCAGGGCCCTCCCAGAAACACGTTTCAGTTAATGGCAACGTTCCTTTCCCATCTCTTCACTTCAAAAGGCTTTCTCTGAGACACTTCTTACAATAAGCGTCATTAAAGGAAGGGGGATTTAGAAGTGACAGGTGGAAGCAGCCTGGTCAGGCCACCCACCCCATGGCACATTTCCTCACCGGCTCCCCAAGCCAGGAGGCCAAGGGAAACCCATCCTGGGTCCAGCCCCGTGGTTGGAGATGGGGCATCTCGGGCCATGACCCTCCAGCGATCTCAGTGGGTAAAAAGGGCAGGCTGGTTCCTGCCTCGTCCAAGTCATGGGCGCAGTGAGAGGTGAAGGTGCCTTGAGTGGGGAGGGGCCTTGGCAGTGACCCTACCTTGACCCGAGGGTGCCTCACAGAGGTGGTGAAGGAAGGGACCTTGGAAGGCCGTATGCTGGGGTGTTGGATCTGGCCTTTGGGAGAAATCATCAACTAGCGTGGGGATCAGTCACCCTCCCTCTGCCTCCAGGGACCCAGCACTTTCCAGGTAAGCAGCAGGTGGCACGCCAGGCCTCCTGCATACATTCAGTCCTCTCAACAATGCTAGGATGTATGGATCGGTTCCAACTAGCATGTTGGGAGTCTCAGTTTGCTTAATAAGTGAATAACTTAGTAACTTCATGGCTCATTAAGTAACTTGTCCACGGTGTCAGTCAGGGTGTGGTAGGGTGCTCTCCACTGCCACCTCACATTCCTGACCCCCAACCCTTCTGCCATAGGGAAAGCAGTGCCTTTTCAGACCTTGGGGACCAGCTGAGCGAGGCTGACCGAGCCTGGCTCCCCCTCTGTGGCCACCGCCCCAAACCTGCCCACTTCAGTGCTTGTGTTACAAACTGTGTGGTCTCAACCCTGGCTGCCCACCCTGCTCTAGCTCCACCCACGCGCTCCCTCCCTACCTTCCTGAAGCACTTCTCTGGCATCAGCGCCCACCTGCCCCAAAGCCTTCCATGGTTCTGTGTTTTCACACACTGAAGTCCAGGCAGACCAGTCACTGAAGGCCTCGTGTGACAAGGCAGCGACCTCTGCTCTCTAGACATCTTTTTCGGGGCTCTCTCACACACACATACTATCTCCCACCCAAATGGGACTACCCACTGAGCTCCTGGCGTGGCCTGCCTCTAAGGGCCCCGACTTCAAATGCGTGCAGACCCGCGGCTGCTGCCCAGAGCTGGGGGTCTGCCCGAGCGTGAGGGGAGCTCGTCAGCCAGGGGAGGCCCACGTGCTGGTCAGGCAGCCGCAGAGCGAGGGCTGGGTGTGGGAGGGGACTTGGTGGGTGTGAGAACGAAAGTACTGCCGCCGTATCAGTACACAAAGGATGTTGTAGCCATCGAGCCATTACCTTCCAGCCAGACGATGAGCTTGGAGGGCACTGAGGAAGAGAAGACAGGGGATACAGGCCCCAGATAGCTGAGGTGCAGATCAAAGGAATGAATGCAGTGAGCCCAGACTCTTGCCTCTTCCCATACAGAGAAAAGCGCTAACTTCCTTAACTTGAGATGCCTGGTTTTCTTTTATTGACAGTAATCCTTTGATGTTCCGACCACCTGGTCTCTTGTTGCAAAAACTTCTATATATCCTGGCTTCCCCCCTTGCCTCTTCGGAACAGTTTTCTCAGCGTTATCTGAGATGCCGTGTCCTGGGCTTAAGTCCTCAGACAGTCTGCCGAATAAAACATAGCTCTCACCTTTCAGGTGGTGCGTGTTTTCAGCGCATAGGTGCACGAGCCGGTCAGCGGCCTGGGCAGAGGGCACCCTCCACTCCCGACCGCCGGGTTCCCGCAGGGCTCTGCACACACTGTCTCCACCCTCAGGGTGGTCCTGCCGTCCTGGTCTCCCCTGGCAACTCCCCTGAGGGGCCGGGCACTGCTGAGTCATCCCTCACCCACGAAAGGCGCAGCCCCCCCAGTTCTGTACAAAGTCACACAAGCACAACCACTGCCACACAGCTCTTGTGCAACCTGGCACAGTCCTGCTGGCAGGTACTTGGGGATTTCTCTGCGGCTGCACCCGCTCCCAGGGCAGGGAGCCACACACGCACACCCTGCACCTGGAGAACGGTGGCCAGGCGCACCTCGGCCCTGGAGAGGCCTCTGCTGACCTCCGTGTGGGCTGCTGGGTGCAGGGGCTCCTGGGCAATGAGCACCGCCGCGGCCCTGGCCTGCCTGAGGCCTCTTCTGCCTGCACATGGGCCACTGCTTTCACCACACACCTTCTTCCGGCCCGTCCCACTGTGCTTCCCAAAGCCACTGAGGGCCTGGAGACAGGGCCCACTGGGTGCCGGATGGGGACCACAGCCTGAGCGCCGGCTCCACCACTGGCTCAGAGAGACTCTGGGAGAGTCCTTGCTCCTGTCCGGCTGCTGCTTCTTCACACACAAAACAGAAGCTGGGACTAGACTGATGACTTCCCAGCTTTGCTCCTAGAAGCCTGGTGGTCACACTCGTGGCCTGGAAGTGTCTCAGAGCTGAGACCTCCTGTCCCTGGTGCGTCACCCTGGGTGAGTGTTTCCTCTTCACAAGACAGAATCCTGGCCTCACCCTTTCTACCCACTCAGATACAGGCTTCCAAGAAGCTACAGAATGGGAGGCCTGGGCCAGAGGTCAGTGGGCCCTCTACCCTGGGCAGGTCAGGGCAGGGTGAGGGAGAAGGGCCTGGCGGAGGGAAAGGCACCCAGTCAGCATGTGGGTGCTGGCAGAGTCTCAAGGGGCCAGTTCCAACCACACGAACAGAGGAACCGCAAGATAATGGGTCACTGCGTCAGCCAAGTTCCTGGTCTCTAAAGGCAGCCCTGCTGGGATGGCAGGAGTCAGCTTCAGAAGTCGCCAAAGCCTCAGGGGTCTGGGGGCCAGGGGGGCAGAGGCATCAGATCTGGCTCAAGACCCCAGCCCCCCTACTCCCAGGAGGCCTCTCCTGCCCCCCACCCCTTCCCACCCCAAGAGGCAGGCTGGATCAGTCAGGATCCGGTTGGGAAAACAGAGCCCAGAGCTCAGGCCCAGGAGGGCATCACAGTGATGCGGTTACACAGTTGGAGAAGCTGCAAAGACAAGCAGGGGAAAGACAGGCGATGCAGAGGTCATCAGCGTTAGCAAGAGGAGGGCAATCTCCACCCTAGGACTGGAGGAAAGGCTAGAGGAGGTGCTTCGAGAGCCCAGAAACCAGGCCGTCCAGCAGAAGCTACACTCACATAAGGGCCTTCTCCTGCTGAGGGAGCCAAGACCATGGGGAGAGAGGCCAACGAGTGAGAGCTGGAGCCCCGGGGGAGGCGGGTGCTGCGGGAGAGAGACGGGAAGGAGTGCCCTCTTCTCTCCCTTCCTCCAGCCCTCCAGCCTCCTGCCGGTGGAGCCAGCAGGGGAGGGGCTGGGAACAGCTCTGAGCAAATGAGGGCCACGTAGACACCCTCAGCCTCCCACCTAGAGACGCTGATGCTTCCAGATCCTGCCCACACTTCAAAGTTCAGCCCAACCATCTCCCCTCGGGAAGCTCTGGGGGCTGATTCTGCACCAGCCCTGCTCTCAGTCTGTCCGGCCACACTCCTCTGGCCTTGGTCCCCTTGCCCACATGGGGTCAGGGCAGGAGGCCCTCTCTGAACTCTCCCCAGTCCCAAAGATATCCCAGCGGCTCAGCAGGCCTCTGTCACAGCTGAGCAAAACACTGATGTGCCCTTCTGCCCTGAACTCCCCAACTGGGTTTATTTTCAAGGAAATCTTTTTTTTCCCAAATGAAAATCCCCAGGTCATTTCTTGGGGGAATATATGTCGTTGCTGTACAAAGTGAACGCACAAAAGGAAGCCGAGCACTCCCATGTGAAACGGCTCAAGGCCCAGTCTGACCTGGGAGGGGAACGCGGAGATGGGGGCATTGAGGTCTCACTGCCTCCAGAAGCCTCCCACTGACACATGAATTTTTAGAGCAAGAGACCCATGCGTTTTCCAACAGAGGGAAAGACGTTTGCTTCGCTGAATATGATGGCATCTGGCCCTTCCCTTTCAAGGACCCCACCCCCCCCCCCCCCCCCCCCCCCCCCCCCCCCCCCCGCCTGCCCCGAGCCCTGCCGCCTCCAGCCTGCAAGGGTCAGCAGTGGCTTCCTAATTGGCCATGTTCTCCAGCCTCTTTTCCCAACATGAGCCAACCCTGAGAAGTCACCTGTTGTCCTACGATCTCTGTCTCCTGAATAAACCCCAAACACCAGAGCCACAGAGATGAGCCGTGAGAATGCTGAAGACAGCTCACGCTGCCTCAGAAGAACTTAGCGCCATCACATGGGTAACTTGAAGTGGGCCCTGGTGGAAATACTTACACCATGGAAATGGGCAAACACTTCACATCAGGGCTTTTTTTCTTCTTCTTCTTCTTCCTGGAGAGCTGGTTGTTAAATGCTTATGAGCAAACTACTAAATGAGGCCTTTGACATGCTGGGCTTTCTCCATCACCACCATCAACCCCAGCCTCACGTTCTGCCACCTCCTCCCTTCCACCCTCTCCCTCCAGCTGTTCATCAAACCCACCAGGTCCTTCCATAGGTCACGCTTTCCCCCAGCTGCTCAAGGGGAGAGCTCAAGGGCATGCTTCCGTCCTAACTTCAGATCCAGTTGTATGACCTTGGGCGAGTCGTTTGCCCTCCTCTGTCCCCTGACCAAGAAAAGGCAGGTAGCAGCACAGTGACAAGCAAGAAACAAGAGCACGTGTGCTGCAAGCTCAGCACCACTCATGGTCCAGGGGTTTGCTCAAACCACTCTCGCCCCCGGCTCTGCCAATAGAGATTCTCCCGTGCTTCAAGGTTCAACCTCCTTGGTGCAGCCAGACCAGTGAGCTCAGCTGAGTGGTCCTGTTCCCTACCAGCAGCCCACTGCTGGGGACCATGGTTCTGTGACATAAGACCAAAGCCCCCTTTGAGAGCAGGGCAGGCAGCCTGGGGGCGTCGGGGAGGTTTACGCACAGGTCCAGTGAGAAGCGGTGTTACGTGAATGAGTGCGGAAGCTGCCAGGTCCTCTCTGTGTCCTTACCCACAGATCAGGGAAATAAGCGCTCCCTCCCTTTCTACGACCCCCTTCCTCAGGATAAGGAAGTTCCCTCCTTCTTCCTCACAGGCACCTGCCCAACAGTGGCGGGAAGCAGAGATACGAAGCGGGCAAGCGGCCTCATGTGAACTCAGGGTGAATCAGCCTCGGGGCTCACCTCCAGCCGCCAGCCCGTTTGCAAAGGTGAGGAAAACTTCGAGAAGACGGCACACCCACCACCCAGCCTGGATGCCACTGGTTGGCCAGCTCTTCTCTCGGTGGGAAAGGCAATGCCACGCTCACCGCTTGTGCCCTGCCAGCCTTGGACAGGGCACTGACCAAGTCGTGAGGCGCTCCTCTCACGGAGCCTTCCCAGGAGGTCAAGAGCCAGGCCGGGCTGTGCCCTCCTGGTTTCCCGGCAGAACTCAGGGTAGGTCGAGGGGTCACCCCCACTTCCCCGTGAAGAGCTCAGCAGATCCCCAGCACATGGTTATCAGATGTTATCACTCATCACTTACTAGCTGTGGCCTTGGGCGAGTGAGTTCAACTCCGTGGGCCTCGGTTTCCTCCTCTGCAAGGTGGGAGCGATAATAGTCCTGCCTCCTGAGTGGTTATAAGCAATCAGGGGCTTCAGGCACATAATAAGAGCTTAATAAGTTGGATCTATGATAATTTATTACCCCCATTCTACACAGGAAGAAAGGGAGCTTTAAAAGGGTCCCCAGAGAGACACAATTTGTCCCGAGTCCCTGCAGGATCAACTCTGTAGAGGTAGCCCTATGATTGCGTGTAAGCCTGGAACCTTCGGAGAGAATAGGAAGCCCTCTCCTTTGCCCCAGGCAAGGACAGCAGAACAGCGGTCACTGATGGTGACTGGAGCCAGGTGTTGCATCTTCCATCACAGGGATCCTCGTGACTGTAAAGGTTCAGCATGGCCCAGCTCAGACTCCATTTGTAAAGCGTAAATCACAGAATCTCAGGTTTACGAGGAACTTTAATGCCCATTCAGGTCCACTCCACGGGTGGGCACAGCTCCCCTCAAAACCTAGGCCCGGACACTGCTTGAATACCTCCAGTGATGGGAAACTCTGTACCTGCAGAGGCCAGGAATTCTACTGCAGATGCGCCTGAGGAGAGGGGAACGGGAAACAAACCAAGGGGCCAGAAGAGACTGGGCGCTGAAGGCCAATTCTGCCAGCTTCTCAGATAAGCCTGAGGTATGTCCAGCCTCCAACCTCCAGGCCACCGCCCTCTGCCTGAGGAGTCCCGTTCTCTAGGAATGGAGGCCACCTCGCAGGAGCCAGGCTTGAGTGGGTAGATGTGGAAACAGGCCGAGGCACACACCAATGGGTTCCACCCCACCAGGCAACAGGAGAGAGAAAAGAGTGGTCCCAGGCCGGGCCCAGCAGCAACAGCCGCCGCCAGGAAGGTCCAAATGCCCAGATAATGAGCCGGATTCTTCTTCCAGAGACACCAGCTAATGAAGGGAGCACAGGAAGCCCCGTGCCACAGGCGCAAACTATTTATACAAGTGTTAAAAATACATTTCGAAAGAAAGCAGGGAAGCCCGAGGGACCCCTCTGCCGCCCTTGGAGAATGATTTCTGAATACCGCGTTAGTTGGTTTTCTGAGAGGTGTTTGAAGTCTCTCCGTGTACCCCTTGGGCAACTTTAATTCCTCCTCCTAATCCCCTATTAAACCTGATGCTCACTAACACAGTCCGCTTAGGGGATTATGATTTTTATTCTTAATTATACAGGTATATATTTGGGTCCATGTGCATTGCTATGTTTTTATATAAATTTCAGAAGGCACTGTCAGCCTCACTTCTCCAAGAGGCCCAAAATAGCCTGAGCTTCGTTTAGGCACTAGGGGGATTTAAAATGAAATGTAAAGGGACAGAAGAGTATAATTTTTAAAATCCATTTTCAAAGCCTTGTAACCTTACAGCCAGAGATGAATGGGCTCGTGGGAAAGTGTAAGAAGGAACACGTGAAGAGCTGAGCCTGGGAGGAGCAGGGTGAGGTGGGGGGCACCTTTGCCAATGCCTGGCAGAGCTGGAGGCACCCCCCACCAACCCGCCCAGGCAACCAGCTGCACAGTCCCGGGAAACAGGAAGGCACAGTGATCATCAGCATCATTGCCAGCATCATCACCAGCAGCAAGTCCCTCTTCTTAAACACCTACTACGTGCCAACTCTTGTATTCAACTCTTTGCACACTTCACCTCATTAAACACAGCAGCCCTCTCAGGAGGGTGCCGCTAGGATCCCTGGTTTTCAGATAAAGAAACTGAAGCGTGGAAAGGTCAGGTGACTTCCCTAAGGTCCCACTGAAGAAATGGTAGGGAAAAAATAATATATGAATAACGATGATCATGATGATATTAACTGAGTGTCGGTAACACGCCAGGCACAGTTTTATGTACATTATCTCATTTAACCCTCACCAAACGCCAGTGGGATAAGTCCTGTTATTAATCTTATTTTACAGATGAGGAAACCAAGGCTCAGAGAGGCTAAAAAAAAAGCTGCCAGAGGTCAGAGAACCAGTAAGGACCTCTGACTTGAACCCAGGTCAGTGAGACCTCAGGACCCAAGCCCTCAATTTCTCCTCTCTCACTCCACAAAGTAACGGCGTGCTCCCTAGCCACAGAGGACTTAAGGACAATGGCACAAGAGATCTGACAACGCAGCATCCCTCCCACTGGTCCTGGAGGCCTAGTAACCAGGGGTCTGTCTAGGTTCTGGATCATCAGGGCCCCAGCAGCTGAGGTAATCTGGGAAGACTCCCTGGAGGAAGCGTCTAAGAGGTAGGCTGGGGAAGAATGGGCTGAAGCACAGAAGACAGTGGAAGTGGATAAAATGGGGCGCAAAGGTAAGAAAGGACGAGTATGCTCAGAGGCACGTGGCTGGAGACCTTAGGAGTCAGATAAGGCAGAAGGATCGGGAGAGAGGTCTGGTCTGGGGACAGACATCTAGGGGTCACAGAACCATAGGGATCCTTCCACCAAATCCACCCTCCCTGCCTTCCCTCCAGCGACTGGGCATGAAGAAAGCATCCCTGCTCCTATTCAAGGCCAGCTCCTGCCTTCAACACCAAGTCGCACCTCCTGAACCCTCCCAAAGACATTGCTCCTGCCGATGGCCCCTCTCTCGGGATCATTAAACTTCTGCTTCCTCCTGCATCTTTCACATCAGCATACATATGTGCTCTATTTTTTCCTATGTCTCAGAAAACCCTGCCTTGACCCCCACATCCCTCTCAAGGTGCCACCCCGTTTCACTGCTGCCCATTTTATGGCAAAACACCTCGAGAGCTGGGGGGGAATCGGATAGAGCTGTCTCCTCCCGCAGCTCCCCGGTGGACTGGCTCTCACCAGATCACCAACAGCTCGGGTGGTCAAAGGCCACCCTCAGCAGCCTTCCCCTCCCACCCGTCTGGCTGTACCTTCCCCATCGCCCTGGCTGGTGCCTCCCGCATCCACGACTGCCCTGTCCCTAGTCTCTGAGCCCCCTTCTCTTCTCTCTCTCCACCCACCAGCTCATCCAGTCCTGTGGCGCTGAATTCTACACCCATGATGCCAAAATGTCCATGTCCAGCCCCGCCCCTCCCCTCAGCGCCGCACGCCTGACGGCAAACTCGATGTCATCGCTTATATGTCTGAGAGGCCTCTCAAACTTAACAGGTCCCAAACTGTACTGATTCCCACTCCCCCAAACCTGTTCTTCCTCTGCTCCTCCCCCACCTCAGCAAACGGCTGTGGGGCTGAGGCAAAGAGGGAAGTTAGGCGTAACTCTTGGCTTGAGCAACTCTGTGGACGGAGTGCCAATCCATCAGAAAATCCTCTCGACTATACCCCCAGCACATACCTGGAGCCACCCGCGTCTCTCCAGCCTCACCGTGCCCCGCCAGCCTACGCCATCACCATTTTGCACCCGGACTCCTGCACTAGCCTAACTGACCTCCCATCTTCACCTCTGCTCCCTACAATCCACTGTCCATTCAGTGGTCAAAGGGATCTTTTTAAAACATAAATCCAATCAAGTCATCACCACCACCACCACCACTCTAGCTTCCCACTGTACTTGGAATCATATCCAAACTCCTAGACACTGCCCCATACAGCCGCATAGGATCTGAACCCTATCTCACCCATTTCATCCTTTAGCACTCCCTTCTGGATTCCTACATCCAGCTGTATTGTCCATTCTGCATCTTCAACACACCAGTCTTGTTCAACCCCAGGGCCTTTGCACTTGCAGTTTCATCTGCCTGTAATGCTTTCCCCTGATATTCTCACAGCTGATCCCTTGTCATGCAGATCTCAGCCAAACGGTCACCTCCTTGGGGAAGCCGTCCCTGACCACCCAGTTTAAAAGAGTTGCCCCTCACATCAACCATTTTTAATGCTTTACGGTATACTTGTCACCCCCGACAATTTCCTTGGTCATTAATATATGTGTGCTACCTGTGTCTCTCACCAGAGTGGGAGCCCCAGGAGACAGGGACCTCATCTGTCATGCTTTCTGCTGTGCCCCCAGCATCCAGCACAGAACCTGGCTCAGCCTTGATGCTCAGTCACCATGACGTGAGTGACTGTGTCATCCCATCTCTTCAGCCCTCCTCCTGTCACCCACCCAACCTCCCCCAACACCCTGGCCTTTCTCACAAGGCCCACTGTCCACATGTTGAAGATCAGTGTCCTGATTATGTCAGAGCTCAGGGGTGGGGGCGAAGGGGAGTGGGAATCACAGTGGCTGTCTTTACCCCCCAGAGCCTCAGCCACCACTCCCACCTCCCCACTGCCCAGGCTGCCCTGGGCCACGCCTGCCCTGGCCTGAGGGCGAAATGCCGAGGAGGCAGCCCTGCGCTCTGGAGCGCCAGCTCTGCAGGAAGACAGCCAGGGCTCAAATCCTGGCTCCCCACTTATGGCCGAGGGACCTGAGCAGGTCTCTTCACCTCTCTGAAGACAGTGAAAAGATCAGTGGTTGCCAGGGGGTGGGGGAAGGGAGGGATGAACGGGTGGAGCACAGAGGATCTTTAAGGCAGTGAAACGACTCTGTCTGATACCATCATGGTAGATACATATCATTAAACATTTCTCCAAACCCATACAAGGTACAGCAATAAGAGTGGACCCCGACATAAACTACAGACTCTGGGCGATCATGATGTGTCAACGCAGGTTAATCAGTGATAACACATGTGCTACTGTGGTCGGGGGAGTAAATGGAAACTCTCTTTACCTCCCCCTCAATTTTGCTGTGAACCTAAAACTGCTCTATTAAAACGAAAGCTATTAAAAAATTAGAAAGTTGTAAAAGCCCAGCACCAAGCCTGGTGCCCAGGAGTCCCTTCTGATATGTATCTGGCTGAATGTGACTGTATGCCTTCAGTCTACCAAGTAGCTAGACACAGCCCTGATGCTGCAAACTTATTGTGCCGTAGTTAAAACATTAAGCCACACTTAATACCTGCAAGGGCTGAGTTCTAATGACGGCCACACCGACAAACTTATGGTCCACTCAGCCCCTCACAGCCAGACAAAAATGTAGGGACCGAGCTCTGCAGCCTCGTTACCTGGGCCACAGGGAAACGTCCAGCTCAGGCTAATCCGTAGGGTATGCGTTGGTCCTCGGAGTTGCACCAAGACGTCCTGGCCCGAGTGCCCTTCCCAGCAACCTACGCCGTCAACACCAGCCCAACCCATGGTGTCTCCAGGCCGCAAGAGCACTTGCTCACGTCGCCAGCACCCTGCCCACACCCCAGCCTCTAAGCAGCCCAGGGAGGAAAAGAGAGTGAGGACTACAGCCCCCTCCATGCACACCGGGACATTAATACCCAAAGACATGTAGAACTCGGCCCCGGGGCCACACAGAGAGTGAGGGACAAGAAACCTGGAAATCCAATAATCTGACTCCTGTTTCCTTGTTCTTTCAACCTCTCTGTCCTGAGTGGCTTAAAAAAAAAAAAAATAGGGATGGACTTATTATCATCAATACTCCTTTGGCATCTCTATTAGTACCAACAAAAATTCAAATTCCTCATTCTTGTCTAGACTCCACAAAATGCCATCTTTACAGTCGTTTTCGATTCCGTTTTGTGATGTGGGCTTCCCATGATCCTATCAGGCTGGTACCAGCCTTCACATCTCACAGATTTTGAACCGAGGCCCAGCAGGTTTTCTGGATGGCCCAAGGTCACACGGAGCATCAGAAGTGGGGGCCGTGTCGCCTCCCACGCCAGTGCTCTGTGCTCTCCACCCACCACCTCTCACACCTCAACCAAACCCCCACTCCAGGTCCCTAGAGACCCACAGCTCCTCACCAACTACCTGCTGTTGGAGGTGTCACTCTGTCCCCCGCTCCTACGCCTCTCATCTTGTTGACCTCAGCCCATTGTCTTTGAGGTTAAGAGTCCACGTTCCTGGACAATGGAGCCTCTGGAATCCCCACCAATGTATCCAAATATACCTGCCAAATATCACCACCATCAGGTCATCCTCCACCACCGCCAAGAGCACAGCTAATGACGCCTCCCAACTAGTTGGGGCATCAGCCGCAAAACAGAGTCCTGAGAATGGGCCAGAGAGTGCAAGGAAGCGGCCGATGGACAAAGTGTACAGACCCCAGAGTTCTGGGCGGGCCCGGGCTCACCTCAGCATTGTCCATCCATCTGTCACCTATCCGTAGCAGCCAGCACCTCCACCTGTTCATTTCTGCAGAGGCCAGTCTGGCTCGGAAGCGTCACCAAGCCCGAGCTTTACGCCAGGCACTTGAGCCTGGGCAGCACAGGCAGATAACCCCCATTTCCAGGTATGCCTGTGGTCACCGGTCAAGGGCAAGCCCTTGGGAAGCCTTCTTCCATCTCTGAGATGTCCAGCAGACAAGCCTAACCCATGTGGGAAATGCACAGACAATGGTACATGGGACTATGGTTCAGGAAGCTGACCTGGCCAGATGGCCTTGGGCAAGGGGACTGGGGGGAACTCAACAGAGAAGGGGCTGGTTCTCAGGGAGAGACCTGAGCTGACATTGGAGGGGTGGGACAAGGCATGGAGGTAAGAGTCTACAAATATTTGGAAGGTGCAAACACCCAGGAAGGGCAGAATTACCTTGCCAAGCAACCAAATGTTTTAAGATATCAGGCAAAACTCTGACCATAATTTACTTCTTGTCTTTAACTGAGAGCCTCGCCCAGGATGGAGGAGATGGCCAGACGTTGGGTCCCCTGGCAGCATGGAGCGGACTCCACAGAATGTTGGTCAGCCAACACCACCCTCATAGGACTCCCGGGGATGAGGACAACAAAGAGACCCACACAGAATCTCCACATCATACTAGATGCTGGGCTTTTAGGGAGGGTGGGAGGAATTGTTCAGTGCACATCCCAGTCGTAGGGGACCCTCACCACAATACAACCTTCCTGGAGAGAGGCCAACCCCGACAAGCCTCCCAGAATCCCTGAGCTCCTCATACAAATGGAAAAAGCCAGGCCCAGAAAGGGTCGGGGACTTGCCCCGGTCACACCAGGCGTGTGAGAGTCAGAAGTACTCCTTCTCTCTCCCGATGCCCGGGGTAGCCCCCTGCCGCATCAGCACGGCCTTTGCACTTTGTAGTTTTTCCCTGGGGCCCTGCCCAAGCTATTGAGCTTATTACATAACAGGTGACAAGTGGCCCCCCAAGTATTTGCGACAAGTACCCTTTGCTTCGTCAATGAAGCTTTGCTGCAAACGCTCCTCTCTTCCCTAAATATGGTCTCTCCATGGCTGACAGCACAGAGCAGAGCGCACGCCCAGAGAAAGGACAGGAAAATGGGTATAAAATTACATAATAACGTCTGGTTCACACACAAGTTTCTCTCAACCGTGGAGACCCACTGGGAAAAGTCGAGGCAAGATGACCAAAGGTTTGATAGGTCTTTTAAAGTTTTGTTTGGTCGAGATGTTTGCTCTTGTTTTAAAAACTTCTTTGTCGCAGATAAAATTGTTCTCTAATTTGGTCATACATTTGGATTTCATTATTTTCAGAATGTATTCCAGACATCTAAAATTAAACAGATGTCATCAACTCCGTTTAGACCCAAAGACTTGTAAGCAAACGGTGACTTCAACCCCAGTGCAATACCGACTTGGAACACTGTGTTTTAGTCATTAAAAGTTTTAAAACTCTGCCCCATTTTTCTCATTTCCTATAATGAGATCTCTTCCCCCTCCTTAAAATATGCCAATTCTTCAAGGGTCATTGGAAAGGCAAATCGGAGAGTAAAGCAAATTTAAATATGAAAAATGGAAGAGTGAAATACGAAATCCTTATCCACTGAAACCCTTACAGAGAAGCTGAACCTCGGCTTCATCACAGAGGAGGGAAAATGGTACGGGAGAGAAATAGACGTAGTGTGAGTGCAGGAAGGGGATTTGACTTCTGAAGCCTGAATTGTTTTATCGTTCCTTTTCTGACAGGGATTAGATTAGTGAGAATCCTTCAAGCCTGCTCGAGGCGTCCCGGGGACAGTTAAGAAGAAAAGACAATTCTTTCTCTCCTCTGAACCTCATCTCCGAGCTCGCCCCCAAATGAATTTGTTAAACGGCATAACCAGGTCGGAGGAAAGGGCCTGTGTGAGACGCCCAGAATTCACAAGCAGGGGTACCTGGCCGTTGGGACATGCCTGCGCAGTGGGGGAGGGTTATCTGGATCTGAGGTTTGGAGGTCACACTTGGGGTCTGGCCTACTGGGCCACATAACGTCTTCATTACATCAATTTCTTAAGCAAAATGGAAAGAATAAAATTAGAGAAGGGGATGAGAGAGGTCCAGAGACCAGAGAGGACCTTCGCCTCTCCCGTGGTACCTCCACCCACCCTGTCCTGGCCCCCAGCAAGCAGGCCTCTGCCCCTAAGTCCAGTCCCCACCCCACCCACGATACAGAGCTGGTGTCTCAACCGGGCCTGCTGCCCTCGGGAGCCCGTGCCAAACATCACACTGCCCACTCACCACCCCACACCTGAATTCAGCTCAGGCCCCATTTGGCACGCCCGCCCTTCCTTCCCCGGCCACGTGCCTGCACAGGACCCAACACTGGAAGGAGCGGGGAAGGAGGGCGGGAGAGCTCCGAGCCACTCACC